CATTAGTGAGGAAGTGTCAGCAGTCCAGCTTAGACCGATTGCCAAGCTTCTTGGACTGGAGAGCGAAAGGATACGCAGAGGCAATGGTCCTGTCGATTTACTAATAGGAATCGACCACGCCCAGATGCATACTGGACAGACCAGGCAAACTGGACAGCTAGTTGCAAGAAGAACACCTCTAGGATGGGTAGTTTTCGGTGGACCGTCAGGAGAAACACAAGTGAATGGTCGCGTCTACCATGTAAGATTTGCTGCACCGGTAGAAATGTCAGATTTTTGGAAGACTGAGGCAATGGGAGTAGAAGTTAAACCGTGTGTTTGTGAGGCTGACAAGCTCACGCAAGCCGAAAGAGAGGAAGCAGAAATCATTTCCAAGTCGTGTGAAAAGGTGGGCAAGCAGTGGATGATACCTTACCCCTGGAAGAAAGACCCCATGCTTTTGCCGGATAATAAGCCATTGGCAATGAAACGGTTGGAAAGTACGGAGAGACGCCTTAAGAAAGACCCAGAACAGGGAGTGGCTTATGACAAACAGATGGAAGAAATGAAGGAGATGCAGTTCTCAAGAAAGCTGTCCAAAAAGAAATGGATAATTACAAAGGCCCGGTGCATTACATCCCACACCATGCTGTTATTCGACCCGAGAAGAAGAGCACACCCGTACGAATCGTCTTCAACTCCTCTTCAGTCTATCAAGGTCACGCACTTAATGATTATTGGCTTAAGGGGCCTGATTTGTTGAACAATCTGTTTGGAGTAATCTTGAGGTTTAGAGAAAAAGAAGTAGCAGTGATGGGTGACATATCCAAAATGTATCACCGTATACTAATCCCGGAAGAGGATCAACATGTTCATCGGTTCCTGTGGAGAAACTTGGAAACGGAAAGAGAACCCGATGTGTACGTAAAAACAGTCCTGACGTTTGGTGATAAGCCAGCGCCTGCCATGGCTCAAATTGCGTTAAGAAAAACAGCTGAAGAAAACAAGAAGGACTACCCAGAAGCAGCCGAGGTGTTCACAAAGAATTCCTACATGGATGATATTTGTGGTTCTGTAGACACTGTAGCACAAGCTCAGAAGTTGACAAGAGATCTAGACAAAGTACTCGAGAGTGGAGGGTTTGGCGTGAAGGGCTGGACGTCGAACAAACTTCTAACCAAGACAGAAAATCAGGAAAATGAGTTCAAGATGTTCCAGGAAGAAGTTGAAGAAAAGGTGCTTGGAGTGATTTGGAATTATGTTACAGATGAGTTCAGCTTCAAAGTTAAAGCGGATTTACTGTGCCTGACAGATTATTCAGTAGACCGTGGAGTACAGATGACCAAGAGAACTCTTCTCAGTCAAGTTGCCCGCTTCTACGATCCCATTGGATTCACTGCCGCATTCGTCATCAGAGCCAAAATATGTTTACAAGAACTGTGGCAGATTGGTCTTCACTGGGACGATGAGCTTCCATATGATGTAAAAGATAAGTGGATCCAGCTCTTCAAGGAAATGAAGGAACTTGACCGGATTGGTTTCAAGAGGTGTCTGGTTCCACCCGAAACTCCAGAATTACCAGTTCTGTGTGTCTTCTCAGACGCCTCACAAGAAGCATTTGGGGCCTGCGCGTACATCCGCCAGAAAACAAAACAAGGCACCTATGAAATAAACTTCGTTGCCGCTAAGTCTAGAGTGGCACCTCTAAAGCAACTAACAATTCCACGCCTGGAATTACAAGCAGCCGTTCTCGCCTCCCGCCTCGCGAAAACGATAGTGAAAGAGTGTACGATTCAATTCGCCGATGTCAAATTCTTCACTGACAGCAGTATCACACTTGCCTGGATTCAAAGTCCTTCCCGCAGTTTCAAGCCATTTGTCTCAGCACGGATCGGGGAGATCCAGAATAACTCGGACCCAAGCCAGTGGAAGCACATTCCCGGTGAAGAAAACGTAGCGGATGATGTCTCGCGAGGATTGCATGTAAAGCAGCTTATGGGTAGATGGATGAACGGCCCAGAATTTCTAAAACTGCCAGAGGAACAATGGCCAGTCCAAACAGCTACACTGCAACAAGAAGGAGATATGGAGCGTCGCCACGTTAATGCTGTCACTACAGTCCCACCTGCAGATGTCGGAAATGTAATCGATAAGAAGAATTTCTCCAGTTGGCGGAAACTGATACGAGTTACCGCGTGGATAAGGCGATTAACAGAGAAGATACGCCTCAGAAGAAACACACTCAGCGGACGAGAAGGACCTCTCATGCCTGAAGAGTTGAAGAAGGCTGAGATGTCATGGATCAAAAGTGCTCAAAAGGATTTAAAGAGCCGAATGAAGAATGGAGACTTCAAGACATTAAGCCCATTTATAGACGACAAGGGGATCATCAGGGTCGGAGGAAGGATTGACAAAGCAATTGTGTCCTACGAAGAAAAACACCCAGTGCTGCTTCCCAATGAGCACAGAATATCCCTGTTGATTACAAGCCATACGCACAACCATGGGCATCCTGGAGTAGCAACCACGACGGCAAAAATAAGACGAAAATACTGGATCTTGAAGGCGAATAAGCTCAGTAAGGCTGTGAAATTTAAATGTGTTTCTTGTCGAGAAATGGCACACAAGGCAGAGACGCAGTTGATGGCAGACCTGCCAGCTCTCCGTTTAGCACCGCAAACGCCTCCGTTCTACTATTCCTCATGCGATTACTTTGGTCCATACAATGTGAAGATAGGGCGCAACAAGACAAGAAAGCACTATGGCGTCATCTTCACGTGCTTAAACACAAGAGCCGTCCATCTGGAACTAGCTGTTGACCTATCAACAATGGAATTTATCCAGGTGCTAAGAAGGTTTTTCTCTATCCGTGGATACCCGGCAGTGCTATTGAGCGACAATGGGTCACAAATGGTTAGCGCAGAGCGGGAATTGCGCGAAATGGTCGAAGGTTTAGATTCTGACAAACTCCGTGATTTCCGCGCTGAAAGAAGTATCAACTGGCTGTTCACCGCTCCAGCTGCCCCTCACCAGAACGGATGTGCTGAGGCACTCGTCAAAAGTTGTAAGCGTGCCTTGAAGAAGGCAATAGGAGAACAGGTTCTGAGTCCGTTCGAGTTATACACATGTCTGCTAGAAGTCGGAAATCTCGTTAATCAACGCCTGATCGGCCGTGTTCCAAATGACCCGGATGACGGCAAATATTTATGCCCGAACGACATGCTTCTTGGAAGAGCAACACCGGAAGTTCCTCAAGGCCCATTCCAAGACACGAAAAACCCGCGACGCCGAGTAGAATTTGTGCAGAAAATTGTGGAGTCATTCTGGAAACGTTGGAGCAGAGACGTATTGCCAGCGCTAGTGATAAGGAAGGCATGGCATACAGAAAGGCGAAACGTTCAAGTCGATGACATTGTAGTCATGGCGGACAACAATGCTATCCGCGGTAAATGGACCATCGGCAGAGTAATCGAGGTGTATCCCGGGACAGATGGCCGAGTCCGTAATGTCAAAGTAAAAACACCAGCCGGAGAGTACAGCCGCCCAGTCACCAAGATTGCTGTTATATATCCTGCTGAGGGATACGACTAAAGAAAGTTAGGCTGACTTCAAGAAGGATAAGGACTACGCCCTTATCGGGGCGGAGAATGTTTCGTTTAATAAATAGGCGTTGCCTCGTGTTGACAGATTTATTCGATGACAAGAATCGTGATTGACATTAATTCAATTGATTGATTTAAAAGCGTTAGATTATTATGTTTTAAGTCAGTTTTTCAGCAGAATCGAAGTGAGAAAGAAGTTATTTTGTTATCGTTTTTCTGTCTCTAAATCCGCTTACCTGGAGAATCTGCTAACCTGTAAAGTAAGACTGTTGTAACGACCCGCCACAGAAGTAAGTTTATATTGAAGTTTTTGAATTTAGTTACAAGATAAAGACTTGATTTGCGTTTGTTCTAATTGCGAATTATAAATGTATTTCTTTTAGATCGAATAATTATTAAAGCTTGGCTTAATATTATACGGTTTGTGGTGGTCACTTGATCTAACCAGTTCCGAGTAAGGAAACAATACCCTTACGTGGATATTAACGATGCCTCTCCTTTGACCCCATCACATTTCTTATGTGGACACCGTCTTCTGGCATTACCAGACACAAGAGTTAGCGTCCAAGAATCAGATCCAGACTATATTCTGCCTGATGTTTCTACAAAAGAGCTCACAAAGAGAGCAAAATATCATGAGAAAACGATACAGGCTTTCTGGACACGTTGGCAAAAGGAGTATCTGACAAGTCTACGTGAATATAACGCTCATCAAAGGAAAGTGTCAAGCAACACCACAGTTTCTATAGGAGACGTTGTTCTCATACATGATAATATGCCACGTAATCAATGGTAAATAGGTGTCGTTACTGATTTACATAAAGGGAAAGACGGATTAGTCAGATCTGTATCTTTAAGAATAAGTTCTGGTAATATACTGTTAAGACCTATAGAGAAACTTTACCCATTGGAGGTATCCAGCGAGAACAATACACAAAGTATTGAAAAGGAAGACAAAGAAGCTATAACCGATAAACAACGCCCCCCAGTACGACTTGCCGCTCAGAAAGCAATTCACAGAATCCGGGAACAATCAAAGGAATACTTGACCTGAAAGATATTTATTACGAAACTATTCCTAAATATTTCTATTTTGCTAATCATTCCATACTATTTCTTATCTAATCGGCCCGGGAGAGTGTCATAAATTATGTAATTATGACGTCACAATGCTTGCGATGTACTTCTAAGTTATGAATAAAACAACACAGCTGTCTTGACCATCGCGTGATACTTCGTAGTTACAATAGTTGTAACAGCGTTCTCGTCATACGTATGTGACAAGTTGGTCAAAACGAGGTCCAGTATCTTATCGCCTCTCGTTGGCTTATCAATAATTTGCTTCAACTTGAACTGCGATGTGAGGCGGCTAAGGCTCAACCGATTAAAATCGCCGCACACGAATATACCACAACCGGGTTACTGGCCCACAATGTCAGTCAGTGTAGTAGTAAGGTGGTTAAGCATACCACTATTGTTAACGCCTAACTGTGGGTGGTAGACGGTACCAGCAACCAGGCAGGGAAATCCTCTAGGCAGCCTCCTTGGCCTAAGCCACACCCAAAGTGACTCAAAATCAGGGTCTGAAAATTCATCGAGCGGTTTAAATTTGATGGAATCATGGATGTAAAGTCCTACACCACCATGGATATCCACACAACGATTTCTTGCGATAAACGAGTAACCAGGAATATTAACTTGGCTGTCACTGATGGTCTCGCGTAACCAAGTTTCTGTAAAGAAACCTAAATCAGGCTTTACGTTCAACATCACAGATCGCACTTCGTCGATTTTAGGCGCTAACGACTGTGTGTTTGCTAGTAAGATGTTCATGCCAAACTCGTGTTCCTCTCGTCGCGGTCGACAGTTTATCACGGATATATTGGACGAATTACGGCCTCGGGGTGCCGTACTTGAAGTGCGATGGCGATTTTGCGCTCCGATTGCCGTGACAGGTTGATTGTTTATCGAACCGATGGGAAAGGTGTCAAGTTGAATATTTAATTGAGACGGAGGAGGAATATGCAAAACACGTCTTTCCGGTAAATTTCCAACCGTTCGTGAACAAAATGTTGATTCCAGAGAAGGAGTGGCGCAGAAATTATCAGTACGATGCAGAAAAGTGGTAGAGGAAGGAGGAGTGCATGATCTCCTTCGACCACCACGAGTTCCGCGCCGAGTAGGTTTTACCCTCGAGATGCCAAAATGAATTAATCGCCGCCATACACCGGGGTCCAGTCTTAAGAGAGCGGTAGGCAACGAAATAGTCTGTAAAGTTTGTCTAGAATAGCAAATAGCCATAGCAGGACGTAAATAGGGCTGTGGCTTGAAGATGGAGGAGAGTCCGATCGAGAATTAATGAGAAATCGGCAAAAACATGCGGAGCTCCCAATATCGTGTGCTGCTCGTAAGCGTTCACGTGCTCCCATAGCATTAGAAATCTCTGAAGAAGTGCACACTTTTCTTGTAGTTTACCCTTCAAAGCAGCTTTTTTCAACAGGGGTTTGGTCTCGTACCAGCATAGTGGTTTGTGTACATAAACGACGTACCTTAAACAAATGGTATATCTGCTGGACATAATTAAATGAATACGACATAACAGGCTGGTTTTACTGAACCCATGAAACAAAGTGTATTAGTCAGTACCTATTAGACCAAAAGAGAAAAAAGAAAACCAAAGATTTAGGAAATAATGAGGTGTATTAGTTGATCCAATGCTTATTTCACAGGTTAGGTATAAAATCACATCAATAACAATTACAAAATGATATTTTCCTACCAGGATTTCCGTCTCAGACAATTTTGACAAATAGATTTGCCGAAACTGAGAGCCCCAAAGATAAAAATATTTCAAAAGAAATTGTTACCAGAAAATCTCCCAAAGGCAGGTGATTTCTTCACCTCTTTCCTAGTGTTACCTGATATCCTCACTTTGGTATTGAACTTGAAAGGCATTAGGACCAAATTATATAAAAAGCAACAGGCACGTGCTGGTAGGATATAAGTAGTAATTAATTTCATTCAAAGGGATTAATATGCCCTCGACCACCTTGGTGTGTGTGACAGAGACAGTGACGAAGCAGGGAGAGTGACAGTGACAAAGACAGAAAGAGTGGCTATGACAGCGAGGGTGACACTGATGGTGTCACTTAAGCGAGAGTAAAAGTGAGAGACACGGAGAAGTGACTAATAGTGACATGGACAATCATCGAGACAGACAGTGGCAGTGATAGAAACATTGAATGCCAGTGCGCCAGAGAAAGTGGCAGAGACGGTGACGGTGAGTATGACTCAATGATTTGAAAAAAATCGATAATTAATGTTAGAAACTGACGTTAAACCTCTTTTTTTTCAGAATTGCATCACTTAAACAAAGATGGGAAAGCGCATGAAACGTTACAAACAATCCTTCCAGCAACTGTAAATGAAGGGGAAAATATCAGCATTGCTGTAGACTTGGGTCAACTTGTCGATCACCAGGGATTGAGGTTAAAGGTCGCTTTAGACATCTACACCTATGTGTACCCATGCATACCCATGAGAATCACTGTTCACTGTCCCATGTTTCTCTTTTTATAGTTTGAACTTTAACTAGTTTGGAGGAGATTAATTGCAAAGGAAATGAAAATGACTTGTATGAAGAATTCGGTGTTTTTGTATTCGATCAAAACGTTAGATCGCACAGGTGTCCAATAGGTTAGGTCTAGATACAACAATCGGGATTTTTTTTTTTTTCACATTTTCAGACCTTCGAAAATGTCGACAAGAAATGACAATTTCTATGATTCAAGTTCTTTATTTAAATCTAAAGAATAAATGAGGTTACGTTATTTTTCAATCTTTTGTCAAAGTTTATTACACTATGTGTAAGGGAGAGATTTAAGACTGTCATGGGTGCCATCAGACTATTTGCCCCTGCTGTTTTGCGTTATCCCCTTGCTGTAAGAAACATGATGAAATATGATCTTAATTACCCGTGTACCTAAGAGTCGAAAGACTGTTGGGGCTATTATTTGAATACCCTTTGTTTTTTATCCTCAAATATAACAAGCGGCTAAGTAGCAAGGGGAAATATCTGCCTTGCCGCTTTACCATCCCCCCCTCCCCGTTTACCTCGCATGGGGTGATATATTTCCAGGGGGGCTATAGAAACCATAGGACTTATACGAGGGAGGCCCTCTTTAATAAGAGAAAAGAGAAAAAACATGAATATGTAAGCGATACGCGTTCATCGGGAATAATTTTTAACTTGCAGAAACATTTTTTTTTTGCGTGCATCTTTGTATAGGTAATCACATGATTTCTAGTGCAATTTGGAATAAATAAGCGCGAGTAAATTTTTTCAAAGACTAACAAAATTGCACGAGCCCGTAGGGCGAGTGCAATTTGTGGTCTTTGAAAAAATTAACAAGTGCTGGTTTATTCCAAATTGCAAGAGAAAAATCATGTGATTACCTGTTAATAATATACATGGAAAAATAGGAGATGGTCTATCATTTAAACATAAGCAAAGCGCGCGCATCAAGTGCAAAAAAATAATTTATTCAAACCGTGCGTTCGGTCAAAACAACTGCGTACGATCAAAACAATAATATGCAATGATATCTTCGCATCTTTAAGGTGCAAAAAAGTTCAAAGTCCGGCTAAACAGTTCAAGGAATTGTTCAGTCTGTGTCCGAATCACTTTTGATGAAATGGAATCGTCGTTTCCGAGGTTTAACCATGTTTGTTTTTAATTTCGGCGTTGGATCGCTCGAGCAAAGTGTTAAGCCGGGTCGGCTCGTAATTTTCGATTTCTTCGGCAATTCCCTCCTCTAAACACCACTTTTTCCAAACCGACAACCAAAAAGCAGCGCCTTTTGCAGTGTTTTCATTGTTTAAGCTGTTTTTCAGCTGCGGTGGCGAAAGAAAACCTACTTAAGACGCCGGCCATTGTTTCGCTCGCAAATTTTCAAATCTTCAAATTTTGTTGCGACATCCAAGGCTCGCATTTGATTGGCTATCTATGAGTTTCTTTGATTATTGACCAATCAGAATGTCTGATTTGTTTCTTTCTTTGCACTGAATTAACTCTCTTCTGCACTGAATTAACTCTTTTCTGCACTGAATTAACTCTCTTCTGCACTGAATTACCTGAAAACTGCATTTATCTTAACCAATCAGAACTAAGTAATTTTTCCATGTATATTATTAGATGTCAAACCAAATGTTATAAATTTTTCTGTATTTTTTCAAGGGGCAAAAATTTGGAATCCCTTACCCTTTGAAAGACGTCTTCGAATCTTTTTACTAACTCAATATATAAACTGACTATAAAGGTTGGTGGTTTGGGAAAAGAAATGTTCCCAATGAACGCGTATCGCCTAGATGTTAACGTTTTTTGTTTTTCTTGTTTTTTTTTAGTAAGGAGGCCTCCCTCGTGTCGATCTTGTGTTTGCTAGAGGCCCCTTACCATCTATCAAAGTATTATTTTAACAAGTATTGTAAGCTTAATGGTATTATGAATTTTGTGTTGTAAACCATCTTTCTCTTAATATAGTGCGAATAAATTTGTACTGTATTGTATTGTCAATTTGATTTTTTTGAAATAATTTTTTTACGACTGAAATGATATGCATTTTTGACCGCCCCCCAATTGAATTCTTTTACAATCTTTCAATTTTTACCTATAACAAGATAAAGCGGACTGTTTTATCTGTCTGTCCTTCTGACTCGACTTATGTTTTTCTACCTTTTAAACTTTTTTTCAGAAATGAGAAAAAAATGCACATTTTCCTATTTGCCCCTTTGAATTTTGAAAACTTTCTCAAATTCCCTCAGCTCGAAATTCACCTAAGAGCTCGACTGACAAGAAGTCGATTAAAAACTCTCTGTACGACTATTCGAGAACATCAAAAGTGCAAGCAATGTTCGTTTCGCGTGCTTCGAGAACAAATCACGATTTGGCCTGAATAATAATTTATACCTGATTAAAGGAAAACAAGCGTAAACGAAACGATTAAAATAGCATCACATGAATTATTAAGAGAAGAAATTGGAAATTCTTAAAATCATTGCCCTTTCTACCATCTTAATCCTTGAAAACATGTTCTCTGCCTATCAAATAGCGAATGTACATTATAAAGCAACGAAAACCATGAGACAAATCAGTGGACTCTTAACAACGACGTTAGAAATATCTGGACATTTCAGGCTTTTAATCTCCTTACCCATGTAAAAGTTGCTGCTAAGCAATCCTGGTCTTAACCTAAATAATTGGTCTGTGTTTGCGTGATATTATACGATGATGCTTGTTGATCAAAACTTTATGTCTAAGGGAAAGGACTCACATGGGCCGCGCGAACAGTTAAAGTTCATTGGCTGATTGATTTGATTCAATTGTCTTATGGCCAAATTAACCTTGTTCTCACACGTTAACCCACATCTACTCGAAGTTCGCCACGTTCTACCGTGTTTTCCTTCAAGTAACCCTTGTTTTACCCGTTAACCCTCATGAATCCAACGTTGGGCACGTTCTTGCACGACCACTATGTTCTTCCAAGTTAATCAACACCTACCAAAAGTATGCCGTGTTCTACCAAACTGATCCATATCTCCCTAAGTTAAAGTGATTCCTCAACTCCTGTACTGCGAATCTGGCGAATAAGTGCGTGCATTCCGGGAACACGGTATTATTTTCAATCGACGGACCAGGTAAAGAGGTATGACGGTCTTTAGGTCTTGAACGAGCACGGTTCCCTATATTTTTTATTGCATAGTACTGCTGTATAAAGTATCCCCTTTAAATTGAAGAAATTTAAAAAAATTATCGAAGGGAAACAGATGTAGCTAAAAGCGTGCACGAAGCCCATTACTCGAGCATGCAAATTATGACCTTGAAAGGAACTACTCAAGAAATGTACTGAATCGATGCCGTCAAAAATTGCGTGATTTTTCCACAAATTACATATCGAATTGTTTCATACGCTCGAGACTTTCTACCAATCAAGTTTCTTCCAAATGTCATTTTCAAAACCCCTTGCTTCCAGCTACCGCAAAATGTACCGTGAACCGATGAAATGACGCGCGTGATTAGTGCCAGTACAGGCATAGGTGGGGTAAGTGTGGCCCGTCATATCGCTTTAAAAAGCACGGTAACCAGTCTTTTTCATTGTATTTTTCGAAGCAAACATTGGAGAAAATCATGTGGGGAAAGTTTAAAATAAAATTCTTCGATTACTATTTTTTCTGACGTATCACCTAACCATTTTTTCCACTTTAACTCACTTCCACCCTAAGTTAGCCACTTTAGTTCTATCACG